AAAAATAGGAAATATATAACTAGGTATTTATTCTATCCTTTAATGCCTCAGTATTTCATTGGTTTAATCTTTAAGGTAACATTTAACAGAAAGAAACAGTGAAAATGAATAGACAATTTCTTGAATTTATACCTTTGCAGGATAAATCCATTATTTACTTTTTCAACTGAATTAAATAGTTTCTTCTGTATACCAGTCATCTCGTATATGCAAAAAGTGCACCCAGCACTGAGGGTATTAGCAAATAAAACTTACTGAACCACAGAAACTCAGAACTCCCCGGCCTGTTCTCCATGGATTTATGGAACGGTTTTAACTATAAACTTAAAAGAAAGAAACAGTGAAAATGAATAGACAATTTCTTGAATTTATACCTTTGCAGGATAAATTTTTTCAACTGAATTAAATAGTTTCTTCTGTATACCAGCCATCTTGTATATGCAAAAAGTGCACCCAGCACTGAGGGTATTAGCAAATAAAACTTACTGAACCACAGAAACTCAGAACTCCCCGGCCTGTTCTCCATGGATTTATGGGACGGTTTTAACTATAAACTTAAAAATAACAGCTTTGCACCCATTTTTTTTTTTTTCCTAAAAAATGGTTCCCCTTGGTTTTTATTCTCCTGCACTAAATGTAACAGTTCTTTCAAATTTATTGTAACTGAGATTGCCCAAGTTGTTTTGTTTTTTTTCCTTGTGCTATTACACTCTGGACTGTAGAAGGGAATGGCCAAGTGGGTGAAGCACGATGCCACTGTGATGGTGTGGCCTTCAACCACTCTGACCTTGGATTGGCTTATCACCATAGTCAGCAAACAAACTTCTTGCCTCTGTGCAATGAGTAATGACATATTCTTGTTTTTAATATAGTGCATTACAACATTGAAGCTATATGGAATTGTTTCCCCAGTTGTTTGGTCCACTTTAACGTTTCCCCATTGTTTTTGTTAAATGATCAGTAGGAGAATGTGCTCCTGACAATTCAGGGCATTTCAAGCATGACTCATTCTTCAGTGTCGAGTTTTGATTATTGTCACAACTACTTAGTTCATCGCTGCCCTCGGTGCCTTTGTAATCACCACTTTCCAGACCTTGGGGTAGAATCAGGCTCTCCGAAGAGGCCCTGGGCTGTAATCCCCTGGTACTAACCAGAATTATCTCAGTAAATTTCACTTAACTTCCTACCATGCAGCAATATTTTATCCCAAAGCGATGACAACAGTGCCTGTTTGTAATCAACTGAATTAATTAAAGCCAAGTCTGATTTATTTAGAATCTAAACCATTGAGACAAAGTACAAAACTTACTTCTGTATTTAGATGACTTTACTTGAGGCTTACCTTTGGTTCACTAAGGTACAGGCAATAAAAATAATGAATACACTTCTTGGTCCCTTGTAAGTTGTGACAATGTACCTCAGTAAGACAGATATTCTGTCTTATTGAGATGTTGTATAATATCGAGGGTAAAATGTTGTAGCAAAGTATCCTTGGGATATTTAGGATGGCTCCATGTCATCACAGCTGATTTCTATCTAAAATGCAAACCCTGTGGTTCATTGAGTGGCCTAGACTCAAACTTAGTGAAACGTGCTGTTGAAGTTGTTTAATTATCAAAAGAAAAGGGCTGTTGATATTATCAAAGAAAAAAGGTAGAGTTTTGGAGGAGAAGAGAACTCCAACTTTCTGCCTCAGGGAGCCAAGATATAGAGATGTACATGTAAGATTGCTGTACAGGTACCTGCTAGAATATCTCGTGTCTCTTTGTGATCATGTGAAATTCAAAGAGCTGTAAGGGAAACAGCTACACAAACCAAATTAGACAAACAATCTCCTGGGTTTTCTCCACTGTAGCTGCTTGTCAGGTGTAGCATATAGTCTTGCATTGCATGACCTTCAACTAAACATGCAGTCATCCATCCCTTAGAGTCCAATTCTGACACATACTCCCATTGCCTTCCTGAAACCTAACATTTGCCTCCAAGGCATTCAATTCAGAGTTCAGAACCAAACAGCTGAGTTCCCAAGCTTTCTGCACAGAACTTTTTATAACCTTGACTGCCTCTTTTCTTAAAAATGAAAGTGTTTTGCTCATCAAGTAAATTCATCAAGTTTACACAGCGTTCCTTTTGAACTGAGTTTGCATTTCCTTGAGAAAAAAGAAGTTAACTGTAAGAAAAGGATCTGTAATCTCAGCACTTCTATAACTCCTGATTAACCTCAAAAACATTCACTTTTTAAAAAAACCCCCACACAAAACCTAAGATTGAGATTCTTTCTCTTTTATCAGAAGAGATTTTATCATTACAAGGCTCTGAATGTCATCAGATAACCCTCTTTGTTGTCTTGACAAAGAGCTAACTCTAAATTGTGGTAAATGAGGTAAGAAAGTACTTGTAACTCTAGCTGGGGATCTCTTGCCCTTGGGAAGAGAAAAATCTGGGCAGTTTTGGAGAAGGAAGATTACCTTCTGCTGATTCCAGATTGGGACACTGAGGCCATATGAGTAAAGCTGATACTCTGTGTATGCCAAGAATATCCGTGTTCTCCTGAAGGTTAATATTACCACTTTGACTGTTGCCTATATATGCTTCCAAGATCTGAAACCCTCAAATTCACAATAAGCACCAAGATAAATTTGGCAAGAAATTTAAGACAATATCAATTTCTGTGCACTGGCCCCCAAAATGGATGAGTCTGTTTTAACTCTGAAAATGGTAATGAGTCCTAATTTATCACTGATGCTTAAGCACAACCTTAGCTGAAGCTACTGAGACATTCTGCTTAATTGCCAAAGGCATATGGTAAAGTATGACTAAAACTATTTTGTTCCAATGCTAATGAGTTTAGAAATTCAGGAGCAACTATTGAAATAATAGTGAATACAAATGTTTAATAATGAGCAAGGGTATGACGTCATTTCAAACACTGCAATAAAGAATATGCCTTTCAAAAGAAGCAAATGTCAAGTGATCAGCGTGCCATTTGTTGAATGAAATTATGCTGATGAGCACTGTAGAAAATAAGCTTTTCAGTAAACCTGTTAATCCATTTGAATTTTACTTCCTCCATGATAAAGACGAGTTATTGACATGTTGATGCAGTGCCTCTGTGAGCAGTCCAAGCCCTGCAGCTGACATTTTTCAAAAGTAATCATCGTTTCCATTTTTATTTCCTATTTGCTTACTTCTGCTCCAATACTGAAAGGCAAAGCAATATCATTGTACAATTCTTTCTATTTTCATAGTTTCGCAAGTAAATTAAACCCTGTGACGATTCCCTGTAAGAAGTAAACGTTGTCCCTTTGGATGCTTATGAAAGTCATAAGATACATACGACGATTTGCTGAAGGCCATGCAATGAGTCAGTGTTATATCCAATATTACAGATTAAGATCATTGCTCTGAGCAACTGCAGAGCGCTGCTTGGACCAGAAGATCAATACGTGCTGAACTCTGTGCTATTTTTAGCACAGAGTTCACTCTTCCTTCATTTTCTGCCTCCTTGCTGTGTATACCAGCTTCCATATGCTATGCTATTAGACCAATAATACAGTCACATATGTCCTTAAAAGCTTTTTCCTGTTCTAGTACAAGTGGGAACAAATTACTCTGAATAGTTTTCTTGCCTTAATCTGCAAAAAACTTGTCCTTATGATATAATATGTTCTGTTTACTAATTCTTTCTGGAAGTCTATAAAAGATGTTTTTGTCATGATATGATTCATTAACCAAGAACATAATTATTAACAAACTTTTTCTTGCAATGTTAAAAAAGAAAAAGAACTGCTTCTAGAAATTCTGAGGTGCAATATACTTGGAAATTAATGTCATGGTAAATAATTTAGTCACCGAGTAAGGGAATACTTAAGAATGCATCTCAATCATTGCAGTTGTCTATTAATGGGGCTTTTTTCTCTGGTTTATATTTTCTTGTTGATGAAAATAAGCTGATCCTTGATTTTCTGTTTGCTGAACATTAAGAAGACTTTCCTCTCTCTGGGTTAATTTCCTTTTTCCCTGTCTTTCAATCATATATTGTATAAACATCCAGTAATTTTATATAAAGAAAACACTGAAGGTATTTTCCCCAAAATAAACTATAACTTTCCTAATGAAAGAAAGATTGTTACTTTTGATCATACTAATTTATTTGGAGACAAAGAAAGAAACCAGAACATCCAGTGTGAAATGCAAACACTGATGTATGTACTTTCAGTTTACTAAGACTTGTTCTGGAAACCTAAGATTCTGTATTAAAAAAAAAAAATAAAAGGAAAATTATGTTGATGTCACAGCTCAACAAAGCTAAACATTTATATCACTGGTGTCATGAATCCAGACTAGCAAATAACCAGTGGAATACTGTCATAGTCTGTTTCAGCTTTTTGAGTACACGAATGTAATACAACTTATTTGCTAATACAGGTTTTCGTACTACAGGTTTTCGTACAGTTATTATCATAATTCAGTTTTATTTTATAGTATTTTAGTAATTCAGGCAAGTTCTTGAAATTAATAGAAGTAGCAATCAGAATAAATGCAATAAGCTCCTTTACATAATGTCTCTGGAAACCCTTCCACACAAACAGTTTGCAGATGCAGCTCAGAGGTTTGATTCTGCTTAAGGTGGAGACGGAGCTGGACATTCCCTGTTCTACACAGCCTGTTCTAAAATTGTTGTTTAGCCACTGCTAAAGTTTGCATATTAGTGAAAATGCTTCACATTTTCCTTGTGGCACAAGGAAGATTGATGTCATGGCTCTTCAGTAATGCAGTGAGTCTGATACTTTGAACAGAAGTCCAGAAGTACCTCTGCATGAACTTAAAATTGTTCACCACTGCTCACATCTGAGTCATGATTTTACCCACCTGAACAGTGTTCAGTTTTTGGACTAAGCGTTGTCTCTGATTTTTCCAAGTGTTAAGAATGTGTATGCTCTCACATTCACACTAGAAGTTCCTTCATCTCTCTTCCTCATTTTTTATTGTTCTATTAGATGGATGAATCGTTTGGGTCTTGCAGCAATTGGTTACACGCCTGATGACAAGGATATTCATCCAGATGAAGGTAATGCTTCACAGATTATAATTAGAAGAGAGCAGAGAGTACATATCTGCTCATTATTTAAACAAAGTTGGAGATGTTCTTTATTAACCTATGTGCCATATTTTTTAAAATACCAATGTTCATAAGAATCCATATCCTTGAAGAACTATATTGGTGCTACCACCAAAGAAAATTTTAAGGAGTTTTTGAAACAAGTGATAAAGAGAATGCAAGATTCAGGGTGAGGTATGATCTCCCAGATCATCACCCTAGAGCAAGAGAAGGCACCACAAACACGGGCCAATATGTGCTTTAGAACCATTTTTGCACCTCCTGAGCTCAGGTTCCAGCCTTGTCTGTTTCACCACCACCCTGTTATGCTAACATAATTAAGTGCTGAGGCTCAGCTCTACTTTGGCATCTAGAATCAAGTTTCTCTTTCACAGTCTGTGACTAGAAGGTGGTTTTATGTACTGTGGGAGTGAGGTGCCTAACCTGCTTTCTGTAACGCTCTCCTAAAGCATTAGAAGGTTCTGCCACGTCTCTGTGTGTATCTTAAGTGCCAGACATTTTCACAAGCCTGTTCTTTGGTGGCTGCCAAGCCACTCAGGTGACTGTGAAATGTCTACCTTTGCCTGCTAAGGATATTTTGAAAATGTGGGACCTGCTTTCTTATGGAAAAGCACTTGAGTGAAACCTGGAATGCTTTGTTAGCAGATTACTGGAGTGAAAGCGACCAGGATGACATCGATGGCTCTTTAACCCTGAAGCAGGAAGGCTCTTCAACACTGTGTGACACCTACCATCGAACACCCTCAGTGAGTTATAAATATTGCACTTCACAGTAGGTCACCAAGAAATACCTGTGTGCCTTGATTTGCATTTTCCTTGTTTTGGAACAATTAATTACCATGAAGGCAGAACAAAGACGGCTCTCGTTGTAAGAATGAAATTACTGCTGTTCCTTATGAGCCAAGACCTGAATGTTTCCATAACAAGTCAATTACACAGGAAGGACAGGTAAATGTCTCCTTATATACATGTCACCAGTGTGTAAATATGACATTTTTTGGCAAGATTTGGGAGATTGCACCAAATAACATGAACAGAATATTCAAACATTGACTTTACTGCAGAGTATGAACAGAATGTGGTGGAAGGGATGGTTTGTATGAACTGAGACTGTTTTTCCAGTATGAACATTGGATATTGGATGCTAGAGATTAAGATCAGATCACATTCATGCAGTAATCATGTTTTAGTACAAACACTTCTTGAAGAACATATCTTTAGAGGCAAGGGGGTTTTTTTTACAATATGAAGCATTGTGTACAATACCATAGCAGTGACAATATTGTCTGTTAGTGTCATGAGATGTTAAGTAGCTGATAAAAGTACTTCTAATATATTGTTTACAGACAGGTTTTGATAACTGAGGGGAAAAAAACCCCAACATTTTGTACCTGAAGAGGCTCTAGTAGCAAATAAGAACATTTCTAGTGTATGGTACATAGACAGGCTGTGATAATTATTCTATGTTTCTAAGCACAGATAGGACTGTTCTCTATTTTTCTTTCAGATTTTTCTTCAGCGTGAATGACATGATCCTCATACAGCCAGAACCAAAGAAAGAGTGACTGAGACAACAGCATCACATGGGTGAAGTTCAGACTGATTTTCACCCATGTGATGCTGTTTTATCAACTGGGATACAGGTTAAGCCCGTCCCTTTCTGTTTTTCCACTTTTTGCCTTTCTCTTTGTTTTTGGATTAAAATTATACACAGACCCAGCAGAATTAATTAAAATAATTTGAGAAGTTCAGCAGTCCCCCAAAATTCAAAAATCTTCCTGGGTGCTGAAGTTTTTTTTGGTTTTTTTTTTCTTTCTTTTTTGGCTGGATACTCATCCCCTAAAAAAAGAAATTGAATCCAATTATGATTTCTTCTGGGGACTTTCACGTCTTCACAGCACACTGCTGGTCTGAGTGTAGACTGGACAGGTCTTCAGGAAACCTGTACCAGTGTTACACTGTTCTTCCCAGCAGGAGTTGCTCATGGGCAGAGAATGAGCAAAACAAGAATAGGGAGTGGTTAAAACATAGCACTTGCATAAAAGTTCTCACTGCTAATTATATTCTCTTTACAGAGGTCCATATTATGACATATCAAAACACACACATCAGTCCATTTTATCAGTATATATCATACAATGTTCTACTCTATAGTCATTGTCTTAAGTCTGTTCAAAACGTTGTCTTACAGTCAGATGCTTTTGTATCTTCTCAGGTGAATTCTTCAAGTCCATTCCCTGAAGCCAAACACGGTCGACACTTTTCAAGTGAATCAACATATTCTCATTCTTCTGCCGAGGATTCTCGACAAGATGTAGCAGGAAGCACACACTCGTCAGGATGCAGACCTCCCTACCGAGAAAGACGCTCGTGGCAGGACCTGATAGAGACTCCGTTAACCAGTTCAGGGCTCCATTTTCTTCAGACTGTTCCTCCTGACGCAGAGTACGTGAGCGGCCGGCCTGGAATGTCACCGGACAAACGAAGACAAGCAACGCTACCAGTACAAAGGCGTCACAATTATGAGCAGGATGGGCCTTTCCCTTTGGTGGAATGTCCAAGGGGACACAGCTCTCATATCAGGCCACAGAAGCAACGTAGTCAAAGCCTTCCCCGGAACAGAGATGTCAGGGGAAAGGGACACGTAAAGTCCATAGAAGGAACAGATGACAAGCTAGAAGAGAAAGTTCCTATTAGAAGGCATAATAGTTTCTGTGTAGAAGGTAAGCTTTTCGAGATGTTCTGATCCTCCTCACTGCCATTGCAAGCCAGAGCAATATTGCCATTATTCTCAGCAACTGTTACACGTTGGCAAATTCATCAGTCACTACACAGCAGTTTGCACTTAAAATGCTTGGCTGTAGTGCTAAGAATATAGCTTCGGGGCTGATCAAAGTGTTCTCCTTTTATCAAAACAAAAATTGGAAGACTACGTTATAGAGTTACTTTATACCTGAATTTGCATTATTCCTTCCTGGTTTTAGAGACTTCATCTGAATGATTAGATTTGGTTTTAGGTTTCTTTATCTCTTTTCTTTCAGAAAGCATACAAGAAATTGGAGAAAATATAGATGGTTTGCAAGAGCTGTACAAATCTCTGGAACAAGCCAGTTTGTCAGCTTTTGGAGAGCAGCGTCCTTCCACCAAGCAGGAGTTCCGCAAGTCTTTCGTAAAGCGATGTAATGATCCGGTTATCAATGAAAAGCTTCACCACATCAGAGTTCTCAGGAGCACTTTAAAAGTAAGGCTTTATCATTAATCTCATGTATGAGCAATATGAACTAGTAAAAGTATAATTTCTTAATGTTTTCCGTGGATGAGGCTTTCTTTGTACCTTTAGAATTAAGTTCCAAAGAAACTAAAAATACTTGAAAAGAAATATGTTCCAGCTTACGGAAAAAATAAATAAATAAATATTTGGCACTCTTTATAGGCAAATTGTAGAAAGTATCAAGGACTGAGCCATCAAACAATTTAAACTGTTTAATAGTTTAATAGTTCCTGAACACAGGTAAAAGATTCAAGTGTCCAGAGTAGTTTCCCTAGCACTTTGCATTAAAATGAAAGAAGAAAAAAAGTGCTGAAATACCAAATGTGGCATAAACTTCATTTTGATGTGTACTGTGTCTTTCTGGTCTTTGATAGGCGAAGGAAGGGGACCTCACAGTTATCAACAGCCTTCTGGATGATCCCAACTTAACATCAAAGAAGTTTAAAGATTGGAAACTAAAGAACTATGAGTTTTTCCTGGACATTTGTGAGTATAGTGCTGCTGTGAAATCTCAAAACGGAGCCTCTGAACTTGCAACCTCAGCCCCGATGCTGACGCATACGCACTCGTTCATTGAAACTCACGTCTGACAGGACTCATACCCCGAATAATTGCTGGGTGCCATGAAAAAGCGAGTAAGATAAACATTGTAATAATTATTGATAACGTACTCAGCAGTACTGTAAATAAGTTGGATAAGAGAATAGTGCCACAGGATGCCTACTACATTGCATGATAAGACTATAATATTCTTTATGAATTTTTTGTTTTGTTTGCTATTATCAACCGATGTCCGTATCAAGCTCTGCATAGAAAGAAGCAGTGCAGAAGTGTAACTGAAAATAAATACCAGTATATTTAAAGTACTGTACTAAAACTAAGCTTATAGTATGAGCTCCTACAATCATTTTATATATATAGATATATATATATATAAAGACATATCTATGTATATAAAATGTAACATGATAGTTGACATTTACTTTTAAAATGCCCTAAAGTTCACGTTTTCACACATTTTTTTTCTTGAGGAAAAAATATAAAATGAAAACACGAATGCATTGGCCACTCTTAGAGATGAACGTTTATTTTTGCAACATTTCCAGGTAGTGACCATCTTTGCAAATAAAAGGACAGAGTTATCAAAATGTAAACTCAATCCCTATAGTGTGCCTTAAAATGTACACTGTACATCTAGCAAATAGATCCCAGTCGGGCCCTATGGGCATACTGGACATGCCATTTAGATACTGTGTTTGTAACATACTGTGCCTGCCTTTAACAGGAATGAATACAAGCAAGCAGGTGTGGCACAGAGGTTCAGATAGTAGTAGAACAATGCTGGATGTTCACTAATGCTGCAACTTGAACTGATTTTAATACGATTTCAAGTATTTCATGGTGAAAGAAAAACATCTGAGTATGGTACGTACTGCAGGTTCTCGGATTTTCTTCACTGTGAATTTGTGGCACATGACTGAGTCACAAAATTCAAAAAAGCTCTGATGCTTCAAAGATGAGAATTAAGTTGAAAAAAAAATCCTGAACTAATCAAATTCTGTAATAGACTGACATCTAGAGCTGAGTAAATTATTCAAAATTATATAATGTCTGGCAATAATTTTTAACTGTTAGTGGTACATTAGCGAGTGGGTGAAGTTATTCAGTACATCATTTGAAAACCAATCTGTATCGATTGGTTTGGGAAGACACACAAGTCACATAGTGTATTTCACTTCCTTGCCTGGATAAGAATGATTTCTAAGAATCAGATTTTGGAGAAAATGCTTGTATTCTTGGAAAAAAAAAAAAAAATTGCTCTGAATGGTACTGAACACAAATTTCAAACACCCATTCACAATTTTTTTTGGACAGTGCTTGCTAGAATATTTCTAGAAAGCAGAACAAAGGGGATGTGAATACAGTTGACATCATTTCACTTGAACATAGATACTCACTGACAATTTTTTCACAAGGTAAACGTAGTTGTCTCTCATACAGTTAAATTCATACAGTTCAATATAATATAGGAAAAAAATGTTCTTTCAATGAGGTCCTAGTATCTAGGAAGAGATCTGATTATTCACAAAGCCAGAACTGGGTGAAGGTATCCTGGTTGGTTAGTTCTCTAACTAACTATTTGAGAGAGCTATTTCTCTTCTAAAATTCTACTTACAGATACAGCTGAAAATGACAGAACATCATTAGGAAGATATATTCTCAAAAATAACGCAAATAGCAAGGAAAATAGACAATCTCAATTTTCATTTCTGAAAGTTAAAAAAGATATTTCTATGAGTAGATGAGATAAAAAGTTGAGAGATCATTTCTTTGCTCAGATTATCTTTAAAATCTTTAAGTTTCATGAGTTCATCTGTTCTGAAATTCTCAGAGTCATGAGTCCATTCTGCTCTTGGAGAGCAGTTCTCATCAAATATGCTTTGCACTGAATACTCAAGATAAATTATGCAAGAGATTCATAAGGTGAATGGAGATACACTGGAGAAATTTCCTATAATGGGGTTATGATTAACTGGGAGGAAAATTTGAAAGGTTTGTCTAACATTGCTTATGCCTTAGAGCAAGCAAAACCTAATTGTTAAATTAAGCAACAAAGACTTTATTCTTTCACAAACGTCAGCTGGCATTTGAAAGTCACTTTGCAATAATCCTGTTGTACTTCTTGCATGCATACTCAACTCTGTACCGCAGCCCTTCCCTCCCCACCACGAGTTTCTTCCTGCTGGATCTAGGTACTAATCTAGCCACACTATAGAAAGCAATGTACAAAGTCACCACAGCACAATTATTTGGAATTTCACAATCTTTAAAAATAACTGCAATGCAAAGTGCAATACAGACGTTGTATTTAAAAGTCCGTGCACCAAGTCCTGCTTATGTCTTAAAATATGTCAAATTCTCCTGGACCAGAAGGTATTTAAACACACTGCACAAGGCAGCTGAAATTATTATGGTAGTTTTGATCAGATATTTTTAAATGAGAAAAAAAAGATTCCTTTGTTGTTGAGCTCATCAAGGGAAATAAACAGCACCAGTACAAGAAATTAATTGACTAGCTAGATTTCATGCCTGAATGCTTAGATAACACTTGGTTCTTAACATACACAACTACATGAGGAGACTGTCTGGATGTGTTTTATTCCTCCAGATCTTATGACAGTTAGTGTCTTGATTCAGAATTCCTGCAGGTAAAATGTCCCTCAGCCAGCCAGCAGACATTCTCTGTGGCTCCACAAGCCAGTCTTTTTGTTACTGGCTATTTTTTACTCTAAGTGATGTAATGCTCCCCCTAAGCTACTGATTCCCCTCCTTTTTTAATCCTATTCTGTATTCACTGAAATCTCAGTTCTTTGAAAGCTGTCTTAGCTATCTCAGCAGCACTTCCTGAGGAAACCCAGACCTTTTTCTTGGTTTCATTAATTCAAGTCAAAACTTTCCTGAGCTTCCTCTAATTAATATGAACAAGAATCAGAGGAGGAGGTTCTCATCAGTCTGTACATCTACATTCTTTAAAACAAATAATGCAGAAATGCCCAGCCTGTGCTCTGCGACAGCACAGACAGGATTACATCTGCCCTCACAGTACCCAGCCTGCGCTGGATTGTACTGGGCGCCTTCACCCTCCACAACCCAGGGGGCTGCTTCACTGCACCGGCAAACCCTGCTGTGTCATCAGCTTCTGACGCGGTTCTACTTCCTCAGACACATCACCAGCACTTCTTGAACCGCTTCAGCGTCGTGAGGAGAGACTGATCAATTGCTATGAAAAGATTTTGGAGGATGAGATTTTCCATCTTTTCCAAGCAGGAAATTCTGAATATGAGTCAATTAATATTCACATGTGGACTTCTGTCTTTTAAACTAGAAGCTTGTTTTTTTCCAAGGAAAAGGAAATGAGTGTTGCAGAGAATTGCTAGAAGTACACAGCCACTTAACTGTATTCTTACTGTCTTCAGCAGCTACAGCTTTCCAGGGCAAAGCACTCACTCCCTCTCTGATCCAGGGTTTTGTGAAGGATAGTCAAGGTACCTTTGAAGGGGTTCTTTTACAGACCCTCATCAACATTGTACAATTCTACTGCTGACCTTCATAAGATTTCACTTTGAATGTTAATAGGAATTCAGGAAGAAAAATGAAGAATCTGGTAGAAATTTTTTAACTTAACACAAATCTGAGGAGAATTAAGAAAATTCTCGTGTCTTTTATTTTTGTCTCAAGTAATACAAATCAGACCTAGGACCATCACGTACCTTATTCCTTATATTCTTTCATCATGTAGTCTTACTTGTCTTCCAAAGTAATAAAAGCATTTTTTTTCTGAAAAAAAAACCAACCCAAAACTAGTGGTACTTATAACCAAGGTGATATATCTGTTTACATCCTAGTAAACCTTGGCTCTTGGCCCCTTCAGGTGGGACAGCTCTGCCAAGCAGAGCTATTTCTTGACATTTCACCAATAGTTTGGACAAAGTCTTTATGCAATTGGGGCCAAAGTGCTTCAAAGGTGGGTTGTTTAAAACACACCCTTGGCTAAGGCAAGATGCAGCACAGATGAACAGCACAACTAAAGCCTGATCTGCAATGCCTGTCAGCTCCCCCCAGTGCTGTAATACAAAGGATACCTACCATATAATTTTATTTACAGTTAAACACTAAATCTGTCGGCATAAGCAAATCCTGTATCTCTACAGAGATCCCGACTACTGTTTCTGGTCTCAATCCTGGAGAGATTCCTTAAGAGAGCACAGGTCTGCTTGTACTACTGGGCCTCAGCCCTGAAAATACCATTTATAGCACACCCAAGTTCCTGTTGTGTCATGGTAGAGAAATAAGAGGTAACTTCATCTCAGAAAGGGTTTTTAATTTCTCCTTAGTTTTCGCAATAGGGAACCTGTGCATCTCCAGGGCAGGCAGAAGGGTGCAGGTTAAAGCAATGCCTTTTTGCTTCGAGTATAGCTTTGTAGATTTTCCACATACCAGATGCCTTAGACCACTGAGCTTAAAATCTTGTTACAGACAATACACCATCTTCCCTGTTCCCAAATGATGTTTATTGACCATAAGTACAAAAATAAAGGTAATAACAGGAAAAACTGAAGAAGCAATGTTAGATAATTAATTTATATTAAGGAATAAAAAGTTATTTTTCTTCTAGAAAGTTTACCTCATTAAAGTTAAGGTTCAGAGTAGCTTTTTCAGGCAAACTACTGTGGGGATAGGTTCCCCATTTCCTCTCATCCCAGAGGTTTTTCTCCTGTTACACAGAAGCATAACATTGTACTTCTGATCAGTTCCACTTACTAATGTGTAGGCAGGCGACTCTCTATTCTTGATACAACTAATAGATGAAGAAGCATTTTTTAAATTTAAATTTTAATTTTTGCAGTTTATACCATACTTCCACATTCAGAAGGAGGATTACAAATAAAATAGTATAGTTTCAACTTTTATGAGTTTTTGAGAAAGCTGATATACTACTGGGACCTACTCTTAATAGAAGTACTAAAATAAATCAGATGGATACTGCCTGCCATTATCTTCAGGAAAAGAACCATATTCATTCTTAATGCAGGCCAGACAGATATACCTTTACTTTTATCAAGCACATACGAGCGTTAAAAGTGACAATTAGGGACTTTGCTGTGTGCACTATGCCACTCTGTGAGCAGTATTTGAAAGAAAGCAATGTTGTAAAACTGATAAAATACGTTGTGCACTATGCCACTCTGTGAGCAGTATTTGATGTAAAACTGATAAAATACGTCGACAAACTGTTGTTTGACCAGCTAGGCCCTCAAGCTTCTGTCCTCCCATTTCTAGAATATTGTTTATTCTCAGGCACTGGTGAGGGTATCAATACAGATCTTTTTACTGACTGTAATTGCATCTGTCTGAATGCTGCAGATTAAATAAGGACGCCACATTATACATATTAACTCTATTGCATTTTGTTTTCACTAGCAACCATGAAACAAATATGTCTTAACAAATCGTGTTCACTGGCCAAAATACCAGTAAAGACCCTGTTAACCAGTTAAGACTTCTGTTTTACTGAGAAACAAGGATTTCAGCTTAAAAATCTGAAAAGAAAACAGGTTAGGATATAAGAGAAATGCACTAGTATTAATAAACTTTTTACATTTGACACATACTGTATTACAAAGAAAAATATCCTTGTAAGACCATTAATTGCTGGGCCATAGGTGACTTCCGTCTAGTTTAC